TGTTTTGTGCGCAGATTAAAACTAGATAATGATAATATATTTTAAGATATTTCATTTTTCAACTGTTTATTTTCTCTCCCTAATGTTGAAAAAATTATTTCATCAAAATGACAATTAACAAACTTTACAATAAATAAATCTCATGTTGATGGTTCTAGATATTTAATTATAGATGAAGATTTATATCCAACATATATTCCTAACCTCTTTTGAAGACCTGTATTTGTGCATTGTGTTGAAGCAATTAGAACATATATTACACATCCAAAAAATTCTTTAATGGAAAATATTTGATTCCTGACAATAAACTAATTGTATAAGAGAGAATTTATGATAACTCGTGTCCTTAAGTAGAAATTGAGAGTTTGAATTTAATAAGTAATGGCCTTGCAATCAATTTAAGGCATTTGATAAATGATTCTGACAGACCGTTTTGTATATGAACATAACTAACAGATTGTTCAGCATTTATTCCAATTGATATATAATATTCATTAAAAGCTTGATATGTAAATTCACTGGTATTGTCAAGACGAATTGACATGCAATACATGCAAACTCATTAGATTGAAAAGTCTTTTGATTTTTCAATGGATGGATGACCATATGAATTTTTAATAATTTTTTACATTCTTATTGATCCGAAATGGTCTAACTGGTCATGCCAAATATTAAAATTATCAATAAGCCCCTAGTTTACTATATCATAAGTTTCAAATATTTTAATTTTTATGTAATACATTCCAGATGACAAAGCAGGTCATTTTTCCAATACAAACTTTTTTTTCAATATAATAGATATACTATAAAGGTACTCAGTGTCTCTTTCATTTGTTGTCTCAATATGATATCAATTCAAACGATTATCTTTAAACACTAAAAATTTTCTTTGAGACCTTGTAGAAAACAATGCATCTTTTATTATAAACTTTGTTCTTTCAAGTAGTAAAATATTGACTCTTTCGCAGCCTTCAATTAATCTTGTACTACCAAATATTGTATTGATATTAGCTTCTTCCATTGTCAAGCAGGAAAAATATTTCTTATCTTTAAATATAGTGTGCATTGTAGCTCTATCTATTAGATATATATCTTTATCATTGATCTTGGATCTAACTAGATGAATATCCATATTTTTTTTAAGAAAATAAAATATATATAATAAGAAACTTACAAGTTAACATAAGAGAACATTAAATATAAACTTTATTGTTAAAACACATAAAAAAATATTCCTAAGAAACACATTAAAATACATTAACTTCTTAATAAAGTTATACTAAACATACTAAGTTCCTAATAGAGTTGTACTAAAATACATCAATAATTAATTTAAGAAATTTCATTATTGGAATTTCCACCACCAATCAAATAATCAATTTGTCTTTTAGGGTGGGCAAAAAATCAATAACATCCATGTGTGTTATTTCAACTTGGTTATCATCTTCAATAAAATTTGTTTCGATATTTTTTCTTTTATCTTTTAGTGATGCTTAATAAAGTTCAATAAAATGTTTTGGCATACGATAAGTATGTGACTAATGGCTTTTCATGCCACATCGATAACAATCATTTTTTATATATTTTTTACTTTGTCCACATTTGTCTCTTTCTCATATCTCTTCACTATTCATTTACTTTTGGTAGGTGTTCTTATTATCAGAATAATAATTTCTGTAACCACCACGATAGTAATAATTTTTTAAAATAAATTATCATTATCTAGTTTTGATCTGCGTACAAATTAATATAAATTTAAAGTTCAAAAGATAATTTTTTTACAAAATATAGTAAATCAGTTGTCAGACATATTTACTAACTCAAAGAGAATAACTAAATTTTATATACCAGCAGCAAATGCTCCTATTAGCATTGATGTCCCTATAGGATAAAGCACGCTAGAAATGTGGAGACTAATCGGTTCCATAGATAAAATTCTCAGAAAAGAAAAACAACAAATATTCAAAATGGTCAAAAAGAAGAAATAGAAACTCTAAAAAAGACCTCTAACATAATTAATAAAATTTCAAAAAAAATTTAAGTACCTGAAATCATTCAAAATGAAGAGATCTTAATCAATTATGTTATGATGGGAAAAAATGAAACTAGAATAAAATAAACGTCGACTATATTTTTTTATATAATATAACGCTCAATATTATGAAAAAAAACGAGAATCTTGAACTTATATTTATTGAAAAATATAGACATAGAAATGATCAACCAATGTAAAATGACGCAATTTAGGAGGAACTGAATTTAATTGTAAAATGTGAAGTTTTTGTACTTGTAGTCTGTACATCAAATTGTATAAAACCAATGGGATATAAATGGGTATTTGTGTAAAAATGAAATAAAAAAATGAGCTTATAAGATATAGAGCACGACTTGTCGCACAAAGTTTTACTTAAAGATCTAATATTGAATAGACATATTCTCTTGTGATGAATACAATTACAATTTTATATTGATTAGTTTGGCAATAAATAAAAAAAATTGAAATGCTTTTAATGAATATAACCATGACCTATTTACATGGCTAACTTGATAATGATATCTATATAAAAATCCTTGAAAGATTTAAATTGCTTAAAGTACAAAATTTGAATTCTTAAAAAATTTATTGGATCAAATTAAATAAATATTTAAATGGATTGAAGTAATCTAGACACATGTGCTATAATCGTTTTAGTGAATATTTGTTGAAAGAAAATTATAAAAATAATCATATATGTCCATATGTTTTATAAAAAAATTCAGATCTAAATTTGTGATAATTGCTATTTATGTTGATGACTTAAACATTATTAAAACTCTTGCAAAGTTATTAAAAGCTATGGACTACTTAAAGAGAGAATTTGAAATGGAAGACCTTTGAAAAATAAAATTTTGTTTAAGTCTTCAAATTGAATACTTGACAAATGAAAATTTTTATTCATTAGTCTAATTATATAGCAAAAGTGTTAAAACAATTCTATATGGACAGAGCATATCTATTGAGATTACCAATGGTTGTAAGGTCATTAGTGTAAAAAAAAAAGACCCTTTCTGACATTGTGGGGATGATGAAGAACTTTTTATACCTGAAGTACCATATTTTAGTATAACTGGAGTACTAATGTATCTTGTTAGTAATACATAACCTGATGTATCAAACGCTGTAAATTTATTAACAAGATATAGCTTTTTTTCCAACTAGAAGACATTGGAATGGAATTAAATATATACTTCGAAGAACAATGGATATAAACTTGTATTATTCAAATGCATCAAAATAAAATTTAATTGGTTATGCAAATGCAGGATATTTATCTGATCCACACAATGTTCAATCTCAAATAGGTTACTTATTCATATGTGGAGGTATGACTATTTCATAGTATTTTACAAAACAAACTATAGTTGCTTCTTCTTTTAACTATGCAGAAACTTTAGTAATTCATAAGGCAAGTCGTGAATGTGTCTGGTCAAGAACTGTAACTCAACATATTCAAGAAACGTGTGGCTTGTCAAAAAAGAATAAAATTTCAACAACGTTATATGAGAATAATACTATTTGCTTAGCACAGTTAAAGAAAAGATATATTAAAAGCGATAGGATAAAACATTATTCACCAAAGTTTTTCTTCACTCATGATCTATAAGAAAAAGATAATATTAGTGTTTAACAAATTTGTTCAAGTGACAATTTGACAAATTTATTTACTAAAACCCTTCTTTCTATAACATTTGAAAAATTAGTATAAAAAATCAAGATGCATCATTTTAGAGATCTTAAATAATGCAATCATTAGAGGAGTAAAATACGCTTTCTATTCTTTTCCTCATCAAAATTTTTTCTATTGAGTTTTTATTGATAATGTTTTTAATGAGGTAGTATTTCAAAAATGTATACTTGAAAAAAATTACATACTATTTTTCTTTCATTCGAATTTTTTTCTTTGAAGTTTTCTAAGTGTAAGGTTTTAATGAGATATATTCTTAATACAATAGATATTCAAAAGGAGTGTTATAAATATTTTTATAAATATCCATTTATCTTATCTATATCTTGAATGTAAATTAGATTGGCTTAATATTAGAATTTAATTCATCTAATCTCTTAGTATTATTTTTATTTTGTAAATTCTATCTAAATAAGATATTTTTAGCGTATTTATAAACCCTTTATTTCATTTGTAAGTATATACTTAAATAAGATTTTTTTACTCTTTCTAAATACTTTCTTTTATATTTTTTTTATATTTATTCTCTTAACATTGATTTCATAACATATACTTAAACATTTTTTGCAAGGTTTTCTTAAAAAAAAAAAAAATCGTGGCTGGACTTGCTGTGCCGCTCTTGTTCTATTTTGGGCTGTTGTGTGGTCTGGTTGCGGGGTTCTTCCACTCCCCAGGGCGGGCCCAAATCCTAGTCGGTAACTTGGTATGGCATTTTTAATTTTTTGTTTTCTTTGCTTAGCTCCGCTGCTCCGCCGCTCGACTCCCTTTCTATCAGCCGTCAACTCAGCTTCTTAGACGCCGCCGAGCCGCACTTTCCTCCGGCAACCTGAATTGGTGGCAGACGACTGAACTTCGCCATTATCTATTTTTTCATCACAGTTTCTTGGTTTCGTCGCTGCCTTTCCTTGGAGCACTCTTCTCTCTTCTCCTTTGGCGGGTTAGTTTATCAATTTTCTTTTTTTTTTTTTCTCTTCCCTCTCTCTTCT